CTATATTTCTAACATCTCCGACTGAACTCTTGATGTCTTCAAGTCTAGAGTTAGCCCTTTTCTTTCCTACATAGCCCCAAGAACTTCTTGACTTTTCTTACGGTCATATAACGCCACGGCAATCCTCTACATTGAATGGGATCTGCGCCTTGTATTGGGGGCACATCAATAAAAATTATTGTTAAAGTTGTTATGCCCAAATATTTAATGACGAAATAGGGGAATTTACACATTCATTTATTTTATAATCGAAGAACAAGAATCTTATTCAATGAAGAATTAGGTTTCAACAAATATGTAGAAATTGTTACAAAATAAGGAGTAGATATTGAATTTTTTTAAACACCACTATATGGGCGCCATTATTTGCACGAAGCACATCAAGACGGTACTCGATTTACACAATCGGTGTTTTCCTCGGATGTTCTTAGTCGTCTCCTTCTCCCTTTATGCAACACTGTCCCTGTCTCCATAAATTTCTTGTCATCCACTAATTGACGGACGTGACGGTGGATCTCTTCCATACTTAGTTCTGTAGTTTCGCTGTTTCTGCCTATCCGATTTTGTTTCAGTAAACCATGACACACATTGTGCATTTTCTTGAAGTGTAGCCGTTTTAACAGTACCTCTTTGGTTAACAGGATACCTGAAATACACAAATCCATTGTGGTTAAAAACTTTGATAGCTACTGAGTAAAAGAACAAATCCGATTAAGTTATCTTATCAATCGCCTTTGTAATATATTTTTAAATCGTAGACTTTATGGGCTCCCTGTATTTCTTTAATGCAGTTTGTTTCTTTTGTATAATAATAGCTTCGAGAATGTTATGGCTTTCTATCTAGTGAGTGTTATATAGTATCTTGGCGTTATCTACAAAGATGTATATTTTATTGATGTCCATCCTATACCAGGTCCAATGGAGACTTAAAGTAGAGAAGCATTGAAGGCGGTTGTTTTATGAGCAGTAAGTGTAAGGCATTGAATGAAGATAGTGAAGAACCGGTGAGCAATTGCGAAGGAAGTTGAAGTGTCAAGAATACGGCATTTGAGAAATCATCTGGAAGTCTCAAAGCACTGGAACTGTATTGAGTGGTCGTCTTCGAAAGATGGAGTATATGATAATGCGTAGACCGATCAGGACTGAAAAAAAAATGGTCGTTAAAAGAAAACTGATATACAAATAACTGATGAGTACGACTTTGTGTCACTAGATAACAGTAAGGGAATATGGACTGAATAGATTTATTGCAATGAATCATTAAACAAAAAGCATTTGAAAGCAACACTAACTGGCATGAGACGCTTGGGATAAGATCACATTCAGCGTTGAAACGTTGATGGAGTTCCATTCTAAGTGGGTGTTAAATTCTCCAAGCCCTCTTTCATCATGATGTACTCTCTCTCTCTCTCTCTCTCTCTCTCTCTCTCTCTCTCTCTATATATATATATATATATATATATATATATATATATATAATAAAGAAATAATCATACATTGAATCAATTAGAAATATTAATGCAATTAATGGCGAAATCTCTTCGCTAACAGACTTAATATAAGCATTAACCTACTAACAATGCACTGAATGATGCGATCCTTATGTATAAAATTGTTGTCAGATGGATCTGGTCTATTTTTATAGCAGATAGTACTTTCAAAAACTTCATGTTTTCATCGTCAGGCTTTAATTTTTTCCTTTAAAATCAAAACTCGAAGGCGAAATAAGTGTGTTATAGACCGAAAGATGTTTTTTTTAAGAATGTGTTATTTATGAACGGTTATATAATATTGGAATGTGCAAGTCGCAATGCTAAAGCTCAAATATTTCAAGTGAGAATTTTTATATGAATTTTGTAATTTGGTAAATCCACGAATTCTTTTGTTGTAAGTGTTTTCCAGTTAACGTGACATGAACTAAGTTCAATTAATAGAGTGATATGTCTTAGTAGTTTTTTTCTCCGTAATTTCGTACTGCGGATGAATTGTTTTTTTTTTTTATAAACGCAGTTTATGAAAACAATTGATCTGCAGTGCGAAATTCATTTGAAATATTTCACTTGAAATTTGAGAATTCGCCATTAATTGCGTTATTATTGCGAATTGATTCAATGTATGATTATCTCTTTATAATATTAAATTTATGCCGCCTAATATATATATATATAGCATAATTAAGTAATTCATCGAGTCTAGAAGAAACCTCAAAAGAATGCAGAGAGCAATGGACGGCCGTTTCGTCCTATATTTGGGACTCATCAGCAATGAGCATGCGCTACCGAGAATTGAAACCCGAACAGTTACGATAGGAGGTGAACGCCATACCAACTCCACCAACGAAGAGGTAACGAATTAGACTCGATATAGCGCTGCTCGATCACATATTCCGTGGTGGAACTCATCCGAGTTTCTCTTTAACCATAGAATTGTGCCTCCACGACTACTACCCCAAGCCGCTCAGTCCAGAGCATTAGAAGCCGATTCAAGCAAGTTTATACAGAGAGAAATAATTAGCAGGATTTGAAATAATCATAATTAAGTTATTATGTTTGGGGATGGTAGTTGTAGCTTAACCGCAGTAGCTTTTCAGTCGTTTTTACTGAAACTTCTATAAAAGAGGAACTGCTTCCAAAATACACCTTTATATATATATATATATATATAATATTTTCCGTGTATACGTGATGTTTTTAGAAACAATTTATTTAAGAAAATGCTCTGTTTTTAATTAAACAATATTAATTACTTCTACCGGCCTGAATGTTCGAGAAATTTCGTAGAAAATATGCGTCCCCTGACAGGAATCGAACCTGTAACCCTAATGGAAACCGTCATTTGATCTGATGCGCAGTTAACCATTCAAGAAGCGTCTGGTTAGCAAAGTCCGGATTACTGTTTAAAAACACACATCTTCGACGATTTTTCTCGATCGATCATATCTGCGCACGAAACGTATCTTAACGTAAACAATGACAACATATAATAAAATGGATTAAGTCCGACAATTATTTAATATATTTTCTGTTTGTAAGTTATTGTTATATAATAGATATAATGCTCTGATTTTTTTAATTAAATAGTATTTAATTAATTAGTATTTAATTAATTAGTATTTATTATATTTACCAGCCTTAACTGTTCGACAAATTTCGTAGAAAATATGCGCTCAAATGACGGTTGACATAAGGGTTACAGGTTCGATTCCTGTATGAGAGAGCATATTTTCTACGAAATTTCTCAAACATTCAAACCCTTAAAAATGGGCCCATTCACAAATACCTTCACGGAAACACATACGCACACAAATACACATAGGCAAATTGGGCTTTAAACTCAACCCAGACCTCAAATGGAGGTCGTCAATAAATTCCACTCGGGTAGTTCCTTCCCACGAACCAGGGCTCTATGAAACCGTCTTGTAAGGGGATATTTTCCCGATCCCTACAATCTTAATTTGTTCATGTCTTGGGTTAACCGTTATTTTCTTCACATATCTGCATAAACTGTGTTTCTTACTATGTAAGTGTCTACCGTGAGTGCACCAGGGCCTTGTACAGAGTGAACCTCACTGTTAAAAAAAAGAAAAATTCCCACGCCCAAAACATGCACACATATATTGAGTCAATTGCTTCGTCCACCGCAAGGAAAGTTGGCTCTCTGTGCCGCGCCAGGAATTTTTCTCCCCGGAATCCATACTCCAAATATACAAATCAACCGTTCGCCCTTGCATGGAGTATTACTGCCATATATGGTCTGGTGCACCTTTTGTTTACCTCGGAGTTCTTGACAAGATCCAGAGACGGATATGTAATATAAATGGCCCTGATCTGGCATCTCGTCTACAGTCACTCTCTCACAGACGCGCCGTGGCCTCTCTCTGTCTTTTTTTTTACAAATACTTTCATGGTAATTGCTCCGATTAGCTGCTTTCACTGGTTCCCAGACTTCATGAATTCAAGCGCCCTACGAGGCTGGCATCCTGCTCTCACCCTTTCACTGTATAAAATTTTAAATGTAGCCGTCTCTTCTACTCCAACAGCTTCATACCTCGCACCTCTCTCCTGTAGAACACCCTTCCCAATTACTGTTTCCCTGAGAGCTATAATTTCCAACTATTCAAATGTAATGTCAATCGACATCTCCAGTTACCTTGATCTATCCACTATCCCTCTCCTCATCCTTTCTTCTATCTCTCCTCTGCTCTCGCTCCAAATCTTCTGCAACCCCCTGCATCCTAGTGGCTTAAAAAAAAACATAGATACAAAGACCAGCATACACATGCAAATTTACAAATCTACCATTCGTCCGTGCATTGAATACCGTTGCCATATCTGGTCTAGTGCTCCTGCTCTTCATCTTGAGGTTATCTACACAATCCTAAAAAAGATCTGCAATGTAATCGGTCTTGACTTGGCATCTCGGCTTCAGTCATATTCTCACAGACATGATGTGGCTTCCCTCTGTCTTTTCTACAGATATTTTCATGGCAACTGCTCTGACGAGCTTTTTTCCCCGCTACATTGACTGCATGAATTTAAGCGTGCTACTAGATTGGCATCTAGGTCCCACCCTTTTTACTGTTAAAGTAGTTAAATGTAACCGACACTTCTAATTCAATAGTTTATTTCCTCACACTTCCCGTCATTGAAACCCCCTTCCGTTTACTTGCTTCCCTAATAATTACAATCTTCAAAAATTTAAATGTAACGTCAGCCGCCATCTTCTGTTGCCTTAATCTCCATTCATCTTTTATCCTTTCCTCAATTTCCCCTCCCCCTCTAGCCAATCTTTTCTCTCAGTTTCACTTCCTGCAACTCCCTGCGTACTACTGTCACTCCCGCCTTCCTTGGGGTTGAAATGATAAAAAAAAATGCACAAAAATGCACCACAACCATATTCACACATACATGTACACAATATCACGCAGAGAAATAATAATACACACGAACACAAGCATGCATGCACAAAAACTCTGGTGTGCATCCTCACAACACTTAGACATGTACAGACTTCACTCGTTTCCGCGAACACGTGAACGCACACAGACAATCACTCATGCAGACAAAACACATGCAAGCACACACATACGTACATACACGCACCAGCATATACAATAAAGCACACACAACTATATACACACTCATGTGCAAAAAATCACATGTGCACTCACACACACACCACACACACAGACACGCACACACACACGCACGCATACTATGCACATCTTCATTCCACTTCAACGTTTAAATCAATACACATCCCCGTTCTGAAAGCATTCACGGTTATCTATCTATCTATCTATCTATCTATCTATCTATCTATCTATCTATCTATCTCAGTCTATTCATATCTATCTATTTATCTAGATCTTTATCTCTCGCCTATCTCTTTCTCTGTCTGCATCTATCTATCTATCTATCTATCTATCTATCTATCTATCTATCTATCTATCTATCTATCCCAGCATCTATCTATCTATCTATCTATCTATCTATCTATCTATCTATCTCAGTCTATTCATATATATCTATTTATCTTGATCTTTATCTCTCGCCCTATCTCTCTCTCTCTCTCTCTCTGTCTATCTATTTATCTATCTATTACTGGTTTGTGTACTTAAATACACACAGGAAGTGGGAATATTCTTAAAATTAAACCTCACTGATAAGATAGCCTTGTATCTACCAAATGTCCCCTTTCTATTTTCAAAAGCAGACGGTCTCCGTGAGCCAAGCCTCTCCTGTTATTATGTCTCCCTGCGTATGTGTTATGTCCTCCAGTTGACACAAATCCAAGCTTCACTTAAATCAGGACCTTACCTGCTATCATCAGTCATCAACCAATTTCTTTCTTTCAGTCTTTACCAGAACTTGACATTCGTTGTCTTGTTGACGGATGCCGAAGTAAATAGTCATTATAAATATAATTTGTCCAGCATTTTTCTCGGGTTGATATCCTCATTATTTGGGCGTCAATTAGCAAAAGAAATTCGTGAGGAAAGAATTTTTTGATAACACAAAAATAATTGCAAAATTTATCTTCTAATTGTACCATTTCAGAAAAAAAACAATTCTGTTTTTCTTTTATTATATTATTTTAGTTATTTCTTTAAAAAAACACATTAACAAAAAAAAAAAAAAAAGACATGGTTAAAATACATCATCACCAGCAGCATTTCTCAACTCCTTCCATGACTACCGTGAATATGCTATTCTCAGCAAACTGCAGTAATTCATCTATGCATCCTTCGGTTTAATAGTGAAACCTTATTATATGTTTGAATTGTTATTCTTCAATCCAATCCAGCACAACACAGTAACCGTCTACCTAGAGTGGCACTTGTGCCTTCTCCAATTGGATAAGTTCCAGATTTGCATACGGGCTAGTGTTAGGCTGCAGCCCATGGTCCCCAAGACTAGAAGGTTCTTTAGGGCTCCCCGAGTCTTAGAACCCTGATAAAAAAATAAAAAATATAAGAACAGGAAAGATTTGTTTATTTTCAAATTAAATGGAGCTCCTTTGAAATAATTTTAAACAATTTAGAGTATTTAGGACCATCTAGTTGGATTGAAACTTTTAAATTATGAAAGGAAAGGGGCGCTTTTTAGATTTTGATGCATCAAAAACATTACATTGTGATACAATCCAAGAATCTATTTTTCTGTCTAATCTCCATGCTTTATCATTACTCAGTCAGTTAAGTGCCATGCGTGATACACGCTTAGGCTAACATGTATCGAAAGACACTTGACTGACAAGCAGTAGGTTGCCATTTTTCCCCTTTGGCTGTCCTGCTATTTACCTATAGCTGGAGGAAGAAGAAGAGGATTCATACCTTTCCCCTAGGTTATTAGCACGTAAGTGAATGCAATGAATTCGACCGGAATTCGAACTCGGCTCTCCGAGCCACTATCCATTACTCCACCGTGCCTTCCGTGCCTACCGTTACTAGTTTGGCTATTTGAAGTTGACAGTTTTAACAATAAATATAATTATTTTTTTCAGCTATGATGATCGAGGATCGTAAGGCAGTAAGAAGTCAGAATTTTCCTTCTCCATCATTTTTTTTAATGCTTTCCTAGTGAATTTGAATATTAGAACTTATAATACAGAACCTTCATTCTAGATAAATTTCTGGAGGACGTAAAGTTCGGATAAAAAAATATGAAGTTGCTTATAAAATAAATGGGATGACTTCGAAAATCATTGAAAATTTAAGTTGACGTGTTTCATATTTTACATCAAAAAAGCATCATCTGAAAATACATATTTTTATATATATACACACACACACATACACACACGCATACACATATATATAAGGCATTAATTTGTTTGATTTTCAAGTTTTGTGTTATATCATTGTTAATTATCCTGCTGAAGGTATTTATTAGATTGTTTATTTCAAATAATAAATTGGATATGTATTCCAGTTTGGTTTGTTTTATTCATTTACGCGCAAATACCCTTGGGAAAGGCATGAATCCACCTTTTCTCTCCCCACCCTCAGTTATGGGTTGAATAGTAGGACTTGTAAATCATTATTATCTCCAAAGAATTCTTACAATCTAAAAATATTTCTGGCCTTAAATGATTTGCAAAAAGGTTGATAAGCCGTAAAATACAAATGAATCACGCAGCCATAAAGAACTTTGTTGCCGGTTTTCAATTAAAACATTCGTTCGGTTATTTTCGGTACTGAACTTTTCCGCTTTTCACCTTTTCTACTTTATTTCTCTTTCCATTTTTTTTTTTTTTTTTCGTTTTTAAATTTCCGAAGTTCATTTTCCATCCGCGTCGTGTCTCTGGCTTGAAAAACCCTGGCGGCCATTTATCAAATAATTCCAAATAAGTCAACCAATTATCACCGCCGGGATTGAAACAAGATTCGAATCCGGTTAAAAGATCAACGCCGGACCATCCTCGAAAAATACCAACATACAAGTACGCCACCTTTGTGCAAAGGTAATTAACAGAGACAAATTGCTTGGTTGGCCAATTTATTTATCACCGCTCTTCGCATAAATACGAAGAAATACAACCTGGGCGGTCATTCGTTCACGCGCATGCGCAAATAGATAACTGTTTGTAGACGACATGGGTGGTCGTTCTGGGGCAACGCTCGACACAGGGTTTCACTTGTTTTCAAGCAACACCACCAATGACAACAACAATAATAATAATTCGCTTTTGCTATGGATTACAAACAAGTATATGAAATCTTAAAACGACGAAGTTTTAAAGAAAATAAAAACAAAAAAAGACACTTATACAAATTAAGCTTCACTTAAGTCTGCTACCATCAGTTACCAACTAACGGCGAACTAAATTCTTTAATTTCTTTATTTCAGTCTTCACCAGAATTTAACATTCGTTTTCTTGTGACAGATGCCGAATTCAAAACTTCATTACAAATATAATTTGTCCAGGAATTTTCTCGGGTTGATATTGCTCAGTATTTGGCGTCAATTAGCAAAAAATTCGACATGAAGCAATCTTTGGGGATTAGCACAAAAAAGACACTTATACTTAACACCAAAAAAAGATAGTTGAAATTTAACGGGCACATTATAAGGAAAGAGGGCTTGGAAAATTTGATACTCGCTGGACAGATTGAAGGCAAGAGGGACAAAAGAATATGAATGCATAACCAAGCTAGCAAGCTTGTGTAAATGAATGGCAGAACAGGGTCTAGGGGAGATAACAAAAACACAAAATTTGTCTATATTTCTGAGATGGGGTATTGAAATTATTTACATTATTTACATTGTTCGGACTGTTGTACTAATCTTTATTGCCATATTTACGACGTTTCGGCCGTTGTAAGCCCCGGCCTTCTTCAGGTGATTGTAATTTCGAACTGAACTCTTCATTTCGTTCACCGGGGTAGATTGTTCTAGTTCCACGTGCCATGCCTCTTCCGGATGTCTTAGTTAGCACTCAACTTTCCAAGTTTTTGTCCACCCCTGCCCATAGCCAGCTATGAACTCACAACTCTTTGAGTCAAGTCACAACAATCTAACCCGAATTGAACATACAACAATAAGCTTAACTGAAGTCTAAGCCCAAATTGCATCCTGTTTCTGACCATAGCCATAAACCTGTAACTCAATAACTTCAATAACTGACTTCTAGCAGTGAAAAACAAAACAAAACAAAAAAACAAGTAACCTAAGCAAGTCACTTCTCCAAATACAATTCTGGTGTTTCTAAAACCTTATAAATATATAGACTAATCACTTGATCTAACCAATGTCTTTATCCGCTAGACCCAAAGAGTTGTGAGTTCAATACCAGGCCACAGCAGCGGTGAACCAAAACTTGGAGATTTGAGTCAAAGGGAAATAACTGAGGCATCCGGAAGAGGCATGGCACGTGGAACTAGAACAATCTACTCTGATGGATGAAATAAAGGGGTCATTTCATAATTCCAATCACCTGAAGAATACCGGAGCGTACAACGGCCGAAATGTCGTGAACATGACAATAAAGATGAGAACGACAGTCGGAACAATGTAAATAAGACAAAATTTATTAAGATCTACAAAGGAGAGGAAATTGTGAAGAGTCATGATCCCCAACGAAAAAAATGATAAAGTCTTAGAATACGGTGTCTGCTTGAATGGCTGTAAGATCCGCCTACTCACATTGTAATTTCTTCAACACCCACTAGTCAACCTGTGTTTTACAGTGAACTTTAGTTCATAGGAGAGAACGTATAATCCGGCGTGAGCATAACCTTAGCTGGTACACTCAGAGCGTTCGTCATGATGACTTGTGACTGAGCTCGCACAAACATCGGGTGATTCCAATAAGTTTCGCTTACCCAGTTTCATGCACAAGGCATGTCTTTCGAGGTTTATATTATCAAGAAGTCACCTCCGTTAACACACTGACACTGATTAGATTCGAACCCGAGTCGCATGGTTGAAACGCTAACGTTCGAACCACTCGGCCACGTCAATATTTTCAAAATGCGCCTAACAAATATGAACGTGTTGGTTTCGATTCCTGGGCCGCTCATGTATTAAAAATATTCGCAATGTTAATGGCAATAGCGAGATTAGTTACAGTCGAAATCACGTCGAAACACCAGTTCTCGTAAGATCAGCGAAGTTAAGAAACGTCGAACCAAGTCAGTACATAGATTGGAATACCAGGTGCTGTAAGCTTGTATATGCTTTATAATTTAATGCATAAGAGCACGGAATTGGAAATCAGAAAGCCGAATTCCAGTTCCAGTCAGGTTTGTTATATTCACTTACGCACTAATACCCTTGGAAAAGGTATGAACCCACCTTTACTCCCCCAAGTATGGGTTAATTATTAGAACTTCCATCAATAAGTGATTATTATCTCCCAAAAATTCTTAGAGTCTAACAATATTTTCTGGTTTCAAATAATCTGCAAAAAGTCGATAAACCGTAAAAAACAAATCAATCTATCATGCTTCATTATAAGGAAGCACTTGGAATTTATTAACAGAACAATAAGAGATACTGTCGTTTGAAATTAATAAAATATTTCAATTAAAACAATTTTTCCGGAAAATAGATTTCTCGGGCCTACTAACTGTTATCGCTCTTTCTATTATTGATGGGGGTTTCTTTTCTAACCTTTTGTTTAAGGTAGTGTGGATGGTCAACATCTTAGTTGTTGCTGCTGTTGAAAGTCATCAAGATATGCGGTTTCTGTTATTTGGCAAAGTTCTTTATTCGCGATTCTTTAGCGCTAGTCTACGAGATCAGACGAAAGACAGTCCTCTGACAGATTCATAAAGGTTAATTCACTTTAAACCATTTTCAATTATTCATCTGAGAAAACGGTTATATAGAGCTGACATTTCAGATATTTCTGCACGATTCATGGCATCCATATGAGATTCCGAATTTGACACGTCTATTTCAAATCCTGACTCGTATTGTTGGGTCAACGTATTGGTTTTGTAGCATCCTGCGGTGTTGGACTAAATTAATCCTCGTGCGGCCTATCCCGTGTTCAATCTTTTTAT